CGGGAGCCTCCCGAGAGCGGCGCCGCGCCGCCTTCCCCCACGAAATGCATCGTTCCCGCCGGGCCGAGTGACAGGATTTCGGCTGTCGCGGCCGGGTCACATGGCCAAGAGCACAAGTCCCAGCGACAGCGTGCCTGCCAAATCCAGTGTCTTTTCCATCAAATCCACTTTCTGCTGGGGATGGCTTTCTGCTTTTCCTGGTCGGTCTCCTCGCGGGACTGGGAGTTCCTCCAAGGCAGGAACGGGTGTGTGCCCGGCCCCAAGCTGGCCCCAGCCCCCAGTGCAGGGCCTGGCACGCGCCCGGCGCTCGCGGAAGAAATGCTCGTTAACAAAGAAGGCATGAATGAATGAAACCAATTGTTGCCTGAGGGAGCTGCTCCTGCTTTTCCTTCTGCCGATCACACACTCCTCCCCCACCCCGACACGCACAAGCACACGTGCACACACAGCCCTCCCCGTAACACACACGCAGGCAGGCACCCAGACAGCGCGCGCGGACGCCAGCCCCCATGGAACCCACCTACTACGTGCTTGCCGGGCAGCTGGCGTCCTTTTGGTCCCACCTGGGCCGCCTCCATTTCAGCGCCGGGCTCTCTCCGCCTCCTCCCCGCCCCTCCCCGGGGCCCCTTGCTTCCACATCTAAGTACCCTACCTTGGACCCCAAAGTGCCTTCTTTATCTCTTAGGGAAGAGGCCAAACCAGTCGCTGGGGAGTCTCAAGGTCTGTTTAGGGAGGCACCTGGGGGGCCCAAGGCTGCTGAGCCGCTGCCGGAGAGCCAGAGGTGCCTGGCAGGGATGCCACCAAATGCTGCAGCCTCTAGAGCCCGCGTGCCAGGTGTTGGCGGGGGGAGGAAGGGAGGGACTCAGAGATGTGCTGGGGGGTGTCGAAGGCTATTTGTGATGGGGGCGGGGCAGGGTGCTGGAGAGCGTGAATCCAGCAGGTGTGCGCGCTTGCTGGGGTGGATGAGAGTGCGCCTTGGAGATGCTGGAGGTGTGTGCTTGGGACGTGGGGAGTGTCAGCCGCTGGGATGTGGGTTTCTGATGGGACCTTGCTCCGGGGTGGGTGGACTGCAGTGTCTGTGGGCTGGGAACGTGGGTGGGGTGTCTGTAATGGGCAGATGGGGAGTTCGAGGTGGTGGGGGCATGGTAGGGGGAGCTATGTTAGTGCAGGTATCGCAGAGATGTGTTGGAAGCGTGCGTGTGCGCCTGGGTGTGTACTGGGGCGTGGCAGGGTCTCGGTGGGTTGGCATGAGTTGGGGACAGTGGTGAGTGGTGGGGCAGGGGCTGCTAGTGTGTGCACTACAGGAACCCGGGTCTGTGGTGCGAGGTTTGTACGCGAGCGAGTGTGCAGCCGGTGTAAGTGACAGGGGACACGGGAGGTGCACGGGCGGGGTGCGGGGGTGTGCGGCGGCAGCACCGAATGGGTCTCG